AGCCCCTCCACTTGACAAAACCCGCAAATCAGCCCTTCTGCTGACGATGACCTCATCAAATGTCATCTTTCCGTCCACATCCTTGTTACTCCGTTACCAAGAAATGGCTTGGTGCTGATATGGCATTGGGTAGGTGGTGTGGTCAATTTAAATGGTAAAATTACTAAAGAATTCTCATCTACCTCTTTTTCTTCCATTCATCTTCTCTCTCCTCCTTTACATTCTCTCTCTTCATATTACATATTTACTTTTTTTTTAATAGTTTAAATTGAAATTTTCTTCAAATAAATTTAAACTTCAAAAAATTATTACAGTAACTCTCAAAATATGAAAATATAAAAGTTAAAAAAAAATTTCAAAATTAAAATCAAAACTTGTGGCTTTGTTGACACCAAGTAATTTGCTCATTAAGTCTCCATTTCCAATAACCCAAAATCTACCTCACTTTATTTTAAATAAAAATATATGTAATATTTATTTATTTTAAAAACTATCTCAAAAATAGAATTATATATTTTTAATAAAAATGCAAACTTAAAAAAAAGGAAAAAATAAAAAATTATGGATTCATATGTATCCCTTCACTATTGTTTCATCCTAGTACAAATCAAAAACCTTCTGCAATAAAAAGGCATATATAAATTCATAATTTTTAATTTTTTTCCTTTTTTTCAGTTTTTTTTATTAAAAAATATATGAATTTATTTTTGAGGTATTTTTCTAATAAAAATAAATATTACATGTATTTTTACATAAAATAAAATAAGGTAGATTTTGAGATACTAGAAATGGAGATTTAATGAGTAAATCATTTAATACTAGCAAAACCACAAGTTTTTATTTTAATTTTGAAAATTTTTTTTAACTTTTATATTTTCATATTTTGAGGATTACTTTAATATTTTTTTTAAGTTTATATTTATTTAAAGAAAATTTCAATTTAAACTATTAAAAAAAAAGTAAATCTGCAATATGAAGCGAGAGAATGTAAAGGAGGAGAGAGAAGATGAATGGAAGAAAAGCAAGTAGATGAAAATTCTTTAGTAATTTTGTAGTTTAAATTGACCACATCACCTACCCAATGCCATATCAGCACCAAGCCATTTCTTGGTAACGGAGTAACAAGCGTGTGGACGGAAAGATGACATTTGATGAGGTCATCATCAGCAGAAGGGTTGATTTGCGGGTTTTGTCAAGTGGAGGGGCTGATTTGCTCTACTTTTAGGTAGAGGGGCTGATGTGCCACAACAATGGACGTAGAGGGGCTGAATTGCACCTTCTGCCAGGTGCAAATGCATTGTGAAATCCGCGTACGGTCTGGGAGAAGAAGCCTTTGATTCATGGGAAATTATGTTGGGTTAACAATCATCCTCGATACAGGTAGCACACCCTCAAATCCTCTTCGGTATTATGAAGCTGAAAAGTCAAGGTCATTGTTCGGTTTGCTCTAAACGAATAAGGGAGAGAAATTTTTTAATCACTTAAATTATAATACAAGTTAATATTATAATTTAATTGTTTAAGAAAATTATTTCTTCTCTTTTTTAATGTGCATCATAATAGAGGTTTATTTGATAGAGTGATTTAAAGGTAATAGTTAATAGTTTTGTACAAATTGTTAATGGTAAATGTCCAATAAATTTATTTATTTTGAAACTATTACAAATTATGTGTTTGGTAAAAAAATTTATTTAATAGTTTGAGACAAATAGATAGTGATTAGAGTTCACACTGTTAGCAGATTGAAAAAACTAATTCAATAGCTTTTTGTAACAAACTGCTAGTAAATTGAAATTTTTTAATTTTATTGACAAATTTATTCATTTTAATTTTTTAATTTTTGACCATAGTTTTTAATTAGTACTTATCTAATTAGTTTCAAATTTATTTTCTCTTTAATTGATAACATTAAGTGATTATTATACTTTTATTTTTTACATTAGTTTATCATAAAAAA